TGGAGTGCAGAGGCCTTCTTATTGACATCCATGTTCAGGGGTCTGGATCAGTCTTGTACTGGCCTCCCCAACAGCATCTGGGATCCATGTGCTCTCCCTTGTTCAGGCCAACTGTTCCTGTGGGTTTCTCCAACCTGGTACAGACCCCTTCGTTCTTCATTCCTCCCTCTCTTCAACTAAATTCTTATTTGGAGTCAAATTTATTATAAAGGCAAGTGAACTATTCTGTTATTCTTTCTAAACTACTGAGTATGGTACTAACTTAGAAGTGCTAGCAATCATTTCTTGTTTGGTTGTCATTTTATATTTGATGGATGAATTAAAATTACTTTATTAATCATCAATAAAAATCATTTTGTTTTGATATAAAACATTTAACTAGGACATATGTTCCCACCTTACTTAGTTACCTAATGACATGAAAATGCCAATTTCTTCAAAGTCAGATTTACTGAATTCTATACCATCCCAGTTTAAGTTACAAATTTAGATCTTAACAATCTCTGGCTAAGACATCATTGGCCATTAATTAATTTATTTGTCATTAACACCCATTGAATAACTATTTCTAGGCTGATTGCCATACCTTATAGATAAGATAAACTTAATTAACAGAAAAAGAGTAACTACTACTCATTTTATACCTACAGAACATAATTTGAATATATATCCTAGCAGTCTGATATATGTCAATACAGGCAATTTTATATAACTTGTTCTTGAAATATGCAATATCAAGATTCTTTATAGGTTTTGACAAGAGGCATAAGTTGGATAAAATACAAATTAGGAATGAGGGGCTTCATTTAATGCATATAAGAGAAATATATTTTATTTATTTATATACCATTTAACTACATATTACATTATGCAAATATATAAATAAATCCTGTGTTATTGTATAATTATATGTATATTATTTGAGGACTGAGCACTTGCTATTGGGCAACCAATTAGGGATCTCATCCATGAGGAGAACATTTCTTTCACTCTTTGCTTTCCTTGGTTGCATATAGGTTTTGAATGTGTTTATGGGGGAATCTCTCATTTCTCTTTTAGTATGTCTACTGTACCTTTTCAGATCATGTTTAGGAATCCATACTGCGGTGGTATCATGGCAGAAGCAAGGAGTGGGGCTTGGCATGTGTTGGAGGGAAGAAAAAGAAAGGGTGGAAATGATGCATTTATATTTTGTTACAAAATTTTTTTAAAGCAAAATTGTACAAATGAATTTGTTTTCTACTAGATTTTAGTTAAAATAACTTCCATGTTGCATTGTTAATTTCAGTGCTTTATTTATAATGAAACACCCACAGACTTAAATATTCTTGGATTACAAAATATTAACAATATGGTGCTATATCGCATAAAATAATAGGAAAATAGAGGGAATTATGACTATTATTTTAATATGTGATTTATTTATAGAGTGTAGGCCTGGGTGTCTTTATGTGGGCCTAAGATTTCTGGAGCAATTGTGCTCATGAGCCACCTCATATTGGTGCTAAGAACTGAACTCAGATCCTCTACAACAGCCATACTCACTCTAACCACTGAATCATGTCTACAGACCACTGACCAATTATCCAAATCAATTTTCTGAGCCAGTTACTTGGAGTGCTTAGTTTCTACTACATACATGTACACACACATACACACATACATGTGCACACACATACATACACACATGTGCACACACACACACCTATGCATATAAATTATATTCAGCTTTATTTTATTTTCTATATGTCTAAATGAATTTAAAATATAGTATATTCTGTATGTCAAAACTAGAGCTATTGTTAAGTTTACACCTTATGTGTTCTTTTTTTTATACTTTTATCTTTAACAATATTTGAGTCTGTAAGGACCCCAAAATCATTCAAGTACATTGAAAACTTTTAGCAGCACAATCCTCATTTTAAAACACTCTTTCATTGTTTAGTGAACTGAATTCAACTTTATTCATGTCAAAACTGATGTAAAATCTTTGAAGAAGTCCCTAAAACACAAGTTCATATCAGTGTTAATCATCAATGATCTCTATATTGCTGACATTCATCAATGCATCTGTCTTTTCAGGGACCTGCCATGTATTTCTATTGTGCTGAACTATGGGAAATGTTACTGTGTTTGTTCTATTGGGGCTTTCTGAAAACCAAAACATCGAAGTACTCTGCTTTGTAATATTTCTAGTTTCCTACATGGCTATTTGGATGGGCAATGTGCTTGTAATAATTTCTATCACATTCACTCAGCTTGTCAACCAACCTATGTATTTCTTCCTCAATTATTTGTCACTTTCTGATCTGTGTTACACATCCACAGTGACACCCAAACTCCTGACTGATTTACTGGCAAAGAGGAAGATCATTTCCTATAATAACTGCATGACACAACTCTTTGTTCTTCATTTTCTTGGAGCCATCGAGATCTTCATTCTCACAGCAATGGCCTATGATCGCTATGTGGCCATCTGCAGGCCTCTGCACTACACTATCATTATGAGCCGACAGAGATGCAATGAAATCCTTGCAGTTTGTTGCACTGGAGGATTTCTACACTCAGCCAGTCAGTCCCTTCTCATTACCTTTTTGTCCTTTTGTAATAACAATGAGATAGATCACTATTTTTGTGATGTGTACCCTTTATTGAAATTGGCTTGTTCTGAAACACACAGCATTGGTCTCTTTGTCATTGTTGATTCTGGCCTAATTGCTTTGGTAACATTTGTAATTTTGATGATTTCTTACTGTCTTATATTACACACCATTAGAGTTTACCCTGCAGAAAGCCGTTCCAAAGCTCTTTCCACTTGTAGTTCCCATATAACTGTTATGGTCTTGTTTTTTGTGCCTGTACTCTTCATTTATATCAGACCAAATACAACATTCCCAGAAGACAAAGTGTTTGCTCTTTTCTACACTATCATAGCTCCCATGTTTAACCCTCTGATCTACACACTGAGAAACACTGAGATGAAGAATGCCATAAAGAAAATATGGTATCATCAAGTATCTTTGTAGAAGAAGCTGTTCCATGAAAGACATGAAAAATGTGTATATGTAAATATTGAGCATTTCTACAACTACCTTGTTCCTGTCTTTGTTTAGGATATTTTTAAAACAGTTCACAATTGCTGTTTGTATTCTTTTTTCTCCCTTCTTTTTGCTTTCTGTGTGACTTTCAGTGAATTGAGGTTCATTTCTCTACAAACCATATGTTGATTTCATGAATTTTGATTCTTCTATGACCTGTCATTTCCCTGTGGCTTTATTCTCTCAGTCATCACATTCTGAACAGCTTAGAAAAGATAACTTACAAGATTTTGTTGGTTCTGTATATTGATCACCCTAATTGCCAATATGTATCACAATCACAGTCTAGAACACTAATTACTACAACCACTGCTTAATTTCTTTTATTTTATTTAGTAGAGACACAGGGCCCCAGCATGTCCAAGAAACTATTTTTTTCCTTTTTTATATAAATTAGAAACAGGCTTGTTTCACATGACAATCCCAGTTTCCTCTCCATCCCCTCCTCCCCTGCCCCACTCCAACCCCCTATCTCATCCCCTTTCTGCTCCCCAGGGAGGGTGAGGCCTTCCATGGGGGAATCTTCAAAGTCTGTCATATCAATTGGAGCAGGGCTTAGGCTCACCCCCATATGTCTAGACTGAGAAAGTATCCCTCTACGTGGAGTGGGCTCCCAAAGTCGATTTGTGTACTAGGTATAAATAAAGATCCACTACCAGAGGCCCCAATGATTAATCAGATCCCCAAACTGACATCGTGGTTCAGGGGGTCTGGTATAGTCCTATGAAGGTTTCTCAGCTATCAGTCTGGTATCCATGAGCTCCCCCTTATTCACGTCAGCTGCAGGAAACTATTTTAATTCAATAACATAGATATTTTATTTTCTTATTAATGAATACATTTTATAAATAAAGACTTTGAATGAAAGGGCTATGAATTACATGCCAGGAATCAAAGATGCTGTAAATAAGTTTTCATATTATAATCACATAAATAGCTTTTCATTTCTATAACTACATAGACTAGTAAAGAAACACTATAATATATTGGTGAATATTTCATTAATTATTCAACTATAATTATACAAAGTATCATCGCTGATTTTGTACATTGAATGTTCAGTAAGCCATTATAGTTTCATGTTGAAAGAAATCGAAGTCATGGTTCATGTTAGTTTTCTGGGATCAAGTTTGAAAACTATTGTGGAATGGTTGACCTAAATAAAAGTGGTAATGTGTTTTTCTTTTCTCTTTTCTTTTTCCTTTTCCTTATCATTTCTGAAAGTTCAAGATTAAGATTTCTCTAGAACTATTTTCCTTGGCTTACAGTGGGGTACCTTCATAGTGTGTGTTGATATGGCCATTTTTCCTGCAAACATTCCCAGGGTTTTTGTGTGTTCAAAATTACCTTTGATATAGTGCTGTGACCTGGCATGTCTCAGTCCCAAACCACCCAAGCCACGAGGTCCGGCCTGAGTCAGGGAGTGTGGACTTGGAAATTCCTAGCAACGCAACGGCGATAAAAACCAGACACAGACGTCTTGTCATCTTTAGAGAGCTCTCAGTTCTATGCTGAAAAACTGTAATATCTCCTTTATTCAGCATCTTCCTGGCTGCTTTCTAACTGTTCTTCCCTGACCCTGAGACCATTTCTCTTCCATCTCCCTAGACCCTATCAGCAGATCTCTCAACCATCTCTACTCCTGTGGACCTCTCCACAGATGCCTCCTAACCTTCTGTACTCACTCTTCATATCATGTAGACCTAGCCTTCTGCCCTGGTGCAGGTCTATTCAAATGCTTCGTTCTGTAGAGATGCAAAACTAGGGGATATTCTCCAATGAGGCTATGCCATTTAAGAGCAAATCAGCTACCATCTGCAATACAATGCAGACCCGAGCTCCGGAGGTTTGGAAGCCAAGAAATTCTCTAATGGAATCAGTTCTTGGCTCCCGACAATATAATGTACTCAATTGTGTTGTATTGGACTTAACCTACATAGTTGCATTTTTAATTAGTCATAATCTCTGAAGTCCTGTCTTTAAATAGGTATTCTTGGATAGCAGATGGTATACATTACTATACATAATAGTATGAGAGAGTGATTGAAATATATGTCTGCTTTCATATGACCTTCACTGTGCTATAGAATAACCAAACTCAATGCTACATGAGGATAATGATAATGAATAAGGTGTTCCTCAAGTCCATCCAGTATATTGGTAATAGAAGCATTGTTGGGAGGAAAAGTAAATCTATGTCCAGAATGATTGTTTCTGTAGGAACAAATTCTGCTCCTTATATTCTGGATGATTTCTAGATTACTCAACCTGCAAAAACATTGGTCAGTATTGTCAATAAAGACTACAACATGCTGGACATGCTATGTGGGTGTGACATAGAATACAGGAATATTCTACTAAAATATTTGAATACTTTAAAGGTTTTATTAAATTTGTAAAATTATTAAACAACGAGCACTTTGAAGCAATGTTATGTGAAAGATATGAATATAGATACATTTAAGAATACAAAAACAATTAGTCAATCATATTCAGAGTTTTCTATAAAAGAACAGAGAAGCAATGGAAGGAATTTAGACAGACATTTAAAACGTAATACTAATTGAAATCTTAAAAAATGTATTTATATGTGAAAAAAATTTCAAATAAAAGTAATAATATTTATTAAATATGAGTAAATAATATAAAAATGTCTTAATTTTAAAGGATCAAAATTCTTAGCAATTGATAATGACAGAGAAATGCTTATGCTAGTTACTAGTCATATGGAGAAAAAATGAACAGAAAAAAAATTAACCTTCAGAAAATAAAACTTCAAATGAAGATAGATTATAATTGAAGAAGATAACATATACTCACAAAAAATATCATAAGTGACAGAAAACTGTACATTGTTTTGGAAGACATTACAGGAAACTTGGAAAAATGAGAAATTCTATTATAGAAAACTTACTTTCTTTCTAACTGGTTTACAGATTCCAGGTCAACTGCAATCAAGTTCCTGGACACATTATGCAATAAAAGAGAAATATCAAAATATATTTAAGGCATATTCTCATGAAGAAATAAAACAGGCTGTGAAGTTTCAATAAGTTCATTACTGTTTGACTTAAAGTAAGGTATGAACATGGTGAGATAGCAGCAACACTCAATGAACCTTCCTGGAACGTTTGCAGAGAAAAGAAATGTCCTTATAGCATTAGACTACATACAAAATATTACATCAGAAGCACCTGGAAAACACTGGACAGAATCACTTAGGAAAGTGATGGATCAGAGTAGCAGCTCTCAGGTCTAGGTGATGTCACCTAGCAACCAAGTGTGATAGATAAGGTTCAGGGAACCACTTAAAGCAATGATGACTTGTGGGCTTCCAAGGCACCAGATTTGTTTCCCACTGACAGCACACATAGTTTCTCAAACTGCATATAGGAGTCAGGATGTAAATGACTAAATGTTTGGATCTTTGGACTATGGTTAAACAGTCTGATATTTGCAATACAACACTGTTAAAGTTCCGAGCTAATGTAAATCTGTCTTCTGTAAATGGGAAAACAGCTAAGAAATGACATTTTTGGGTCATTTTAGAACACTGGTGTTGGGGATAATATTACAATATCTATAAGTGGTAAACTTGTTTAACATTGGTACAAGGGTTGAGAAATAATAAAATGAAAAATAAACATTGATCTCCATGTTTCTTCAATAACAGAAAGATAAATATCATGTACAGATTATAAATGTCAGTATATATAGGATAAATTGTAAGGATTAAGAATCAAATTTAATATTAAATACATATTCCCCATGACTCTCTTTACAGTTTTGTCATTTATTATTTAACTTTAAAAATATTTTGAGAGTTTTATACATGAAAAATCTATTTTCAAAATTCTGAATCCTCCCTCTTCCCTTTCCAATCTTTGCCCATATTCCATGTCAAGCCCATGGGCTCATATAATTATTATGGATATGCCCATACACCCAAACATATACACAAAATCCATGGAGTCCATTTAATACCATAGCAGATACTAAAGGTTCTGCATCCAACAGAGAAAGATAGGAAATTTCAAGTTATCCCACCACACACACACACACACACACACACACACACACACACACACTTCTGGCAGCTGAGCATGGAAGAAATTATATAGAAAAAGAGGGAAGTGTATTCCTGGCCCAAAAAAGTACTTTACTAGCCTCACATACTTAGGCTAACCTTTACATTTCTGTGTTATTGATTTCTCTAGGACCATGTTAGCCCCTTAACTCAAAGCTCCAGATTGTCTTAAACACAAATTAGCCTCAGTCTTCAGGCTAGCTTTCCTGTGTGAGAAACGCACCTTTATACTGAGCAGGTCCCTCAATTATCCCATGTTCCAAGCTAGCCCCTGTGACATGGCACAGGCTCCTGAAATCCTAGGATTAAAGGGCTTGATGTAGCTCCTGATCTATTCTTGAGAATAAGGTCCCAGGCCCTGGTTGTTAAACCTGATAACATGTGTTTCCCCAGGAACTTGGATAGAGGCACAAGGTCACTGAGATTCAAAGTAGTACAATGCAAAGATTCCTCTTGTCCATTGAGCAACTGCTTTTGTTTTAGTGCAAACAAAACTAATAGACTTGTTCTTGTTTCCCTGTGTCATAAATTTTTAATTCATGTCATTTGGCACTCAGTGGGCTTTTGTATGTCTTCAGAATTTATGTTAACACAGAGCACAGAGTTTGAAGCTTAATAGTATTGAGTGCATGTCAGCCATATGATTATATGCAGACACCTCAGAGTATAACTCATTACATTGTTAACCTTAGAAGAAATACTTTTGAAAGCCTGAGAGGAATTAAATCATTTAAAGTTGTACATTGGCCAAATGTTCTTTTGGGATATGCCTTGTACCTCAGAAAAAGTAAGAGGATGCCTTGAGATCTAGTCTCCCAGGCAATATACTTGACATATCTTG